TGGTCATGGCCACTGTGCTCTGGGCAAGCTGCTTGGGCTGCATGCTTGATGGACCACCCACTGGCCAACCCAGGGCGGAGGCTGCCTCCAAGCCCACTGCTTTTTCTTGCTCTAGAGCTGCCTGGGGAGGAGGGTGTTCCTCTCAGAGATCATGGCTCTTCCTGCCAGAGCTGGGACCTGTATCTCCATCTGACCAGCCCTGCCATGCATTAGGCTCTCCCCAGCACCAACCCTTGGCGATCCAGGGCCTCCACATCCTCCACTCGCATGCCAAAGATGAAGAGGTTTTCTTCGCCTGCCTCCTCGGCCATCTCCACGTTGGCCCCATCCATGGTGCCAATGGTCAGGGCCCCGTTCACCATGAACTTCATGTTGCCAGTACCAGAGGCCTCCGTGCCAGCCGTGGAGATCTGCTGGGAGAGATCCGCTGCCGGGATCACTGCGGGGTGCAAGAGAGGTAGGAGTTAAACCCTGGCACGCTGCAGCTCCCCACGACCTGGGCCCAGGACAGCAAAACAACCCTGAGCATCTGCTAATGGCCCTGCTGACCTCAGCCTCAGCCCAAACAGCGCCAGCTCTGGGGCCAGAGCCAGGCTCAGCCGCACCACAACCCCATGCTCCTGTATGAAGCTGACTTCCCACCCTGTGTGGCGCTCTCAGGCCCTTCCTAAGGGAGAGCCAGGTGACCTGCCATGACAGCCTCTCAGGCTAGACAGTTTCTGGGCTCAGCTGGGACATGCCCAGCTCCTAATGTGTGCTTGCACAAGACCAGACGTACCCTTCTCGGCCAAGGATACCCGGTAGTTCTCCAGGAAGATGACCTTCAGCTTGTCCCCCACGTAGGGATCGTTATTGATGACATCACCGATGGACGTGATGAGTTTGATGATCATCTTGGCCATGTGGTAGCCAGGGGCCGCCTGAAGAAGAGCAGCCCAGAAATGGTGAAGGCTTTTAAGGAAGGGAGAGCACGAGAGGTGCCAGTGCGGGTCCTCACCACAGGGAGAATCTGGAGAACACCTCTGCTGTTCACATGCAAAAACACCCTACTGGGAGGGGAAGTGCTGAGCCACAGGCAGAGAGTGATGGGGCCTTCTTCAGTCTGATTAGTCCATGAAAGTGTTTCCTGAAGAGCCCACCAGCAGATATATGCTGGGTAACCTACAGCGGGCCCGGCAAAGGGGACAGCACCTTCCCCACATCCCCACTGAGCCATGCATGCACCGAGTCTGGAACGCACGTTACCTTTCCTCCGATCATAATCGTCCTGGGCACAAAGGATTTGGATGGATTGCTTCTGATGCCTGAAAGAGCAGAGTGGAACACAACTGAAGATAAACTGGACAGAGTTTATTCCATGCATCACAGGTGGGCTGGGATCCCAGCCCATGTCACGTAGACCCAGCAAACTTGCAGGACCCTGAAACCCAACCAGAGATCTGCTGGAGCTGTGCTGGGTGAAAATGGGCTGCAAAGTCCTCGGAGAACTAGTCAAGCCAGCACGATGCAGCACACCAGTGACTTGCCTCCCTTTGGGAAGGGGCTGGGCCCAAAGCTTACACTGGAGAGTGGAGTTTTAACTTGCACCAGGTCAGTCCTAACCCCTGCAGTACAGGTGTGGGGGGGTCACCTGGGACCCAGCTGGGCTGGGGACGTGGGCTGTAAGCTTTTCCTCAGAGCTCTGTACAACCCTTCAGACAATGTCTTCCCTCCTGGAGAGAAGGCCTCCATGAGAGGAGGGCAGAGCTAGGCTCAGGAGCCCTTGGCCACCAGCCAGCACACTTTTACACGGGAACCCTGGCAGTGAGAGGCTGGGGGGACACTCCTCCTCCAGCCCAGGCAGGACTTACGGTTGTAGAGGGTGATAGCATGCAGGCAGTTCAGCAGCTGCCGCTTGTACTCATGGATTCGCTTGACCTGAACATCGAATATGGACGAAGGGTTGATCTTGACCTTGTACTTCTCCTCCAAGTAGGCTGAAAACTTCAGCTTGTTCTCCTGGCAAGAAAATCTGATGAGGAACAGGTATGGGTTCCCAGGCCTCGTGTCAGAAGCGAGGGTTCGCTGCTGGGATGTTCCTGGGAGCATGGTGCCTTTAGCCACCTTCACCCCACCCCACCCCACCCCACCTCCAGTGCACATTACCTGTTTGACTTTTGCCACGTCCCTGATAAAAGTCTCATTATTGATGAAATCCAGTAACTTCTTCAGCTGGCTCAGGTCTGTGATAAAGCCTTCCCCAATTTTCTAAAAGAACAAACCAAGAGAGGCATGTCCCACCCGTGAGACCTCACCCTGTCCACAGCTGCACTTCCCCATCAGAGATGCCACAGTCCTACTGGGAAGAGGCACTCTGGAAGAGGCCAGGAAAAGGGGCACAGTTCCCTACAGTGAGGTTACTTCTCTGTGTCACCAGGGAGCCCAAAGGTGCAGGGAAAACAGGGCGTTTAAAAAACCTGAACAAGTCCCTCCCTCTCTCAAGGAGCTTTAGAGGGAAGATGTGTGCACAAGTACCTCCTGGCAGCTGGAGAAACTGATGGGCAGGACATAAAGGTACATTTAATTGCAGGACATTATTCAGTGTGAAGCAAAAACCTGTGCTGAAGGGCCTGGGAAACAAAGGAGACAGAACTGGGGCTCCGAGGGAGCTCCTTTGTGCCTGTGCAGCTGAAAGCTTTTGCAGACACCCCATTTCACACACCATGGTGCTGCCCAACAGGTTGCCTGAAGCTGCTGCGAGGGCAGGGAACCAGATTCAAACTTCTGCAACTTCTTTTGGACAACTACTCATCACTGACTTTAAAGCCCAGCCAGTCTCACACCTACATGTGCAACCAGGAGGTGCGCTCCTCCCAGGCTGTGCTCACTCACACCTGCCAGGCGATAGCCTCAGGTCCCTTCAGAACACACCAGAGGTGATCAGAAGCAAATGGATCACGCTCAGCCCCACACTTCAGATGCTTGTGACTCACCTCAGCAATAACATCGGCCAGTCCTGGGTTGCACAGCAGGAGCCAGCGCCTCGGTGTGATCCCATTTGTCTTGTTCTGAAACTTCTCCGGCTCCAGCTCATAGAAATCCTTGAACCTGGAAGGAACAGCAGGGAGCTTTGAACCACCCACCACCACCCAGAGCTTCAGCTGGGTCCCCATTGTATGTGCTCCTGACTCAGGGCAGTCGTTGATCAACCTGTAACAAGCATGAACTCTCCGTGCTGTCCCTCACCCTGTTCCTCAGCCATAATGCCAAGGGTTTCACCACAGAATCAGAGAATGGCCTTGATTGGAAAAGACCTGTAAGATCATTGAGTCCAATCATTAACCTCACACTGACAAGTCCCTGACTAACCCATGTCCCTCAGCACTATGTCTACACGACTCTTCAATCCCTCCAGGGATGGGGACTCCACCACTGCCCTGGGCAACCCCTTCCAATGCCTGAGAACCCTTTCAGGAAAGAAATTCTTCCTCAGATCCAATCTAAACTGTCCTTGGTGCAACTTGAGGCCATTTCCTCTTGTCCTGTCACTTGTTACTTGGTTGAACAGACTGACCCCCACCTCTCCACACCCTCCTTTCAGGGAGTTGTAGAGAGCAAGAAGGTCTCCCCTCAGCCTCCTTTTCTCCAGGATCAACAACCCCAGTTCCCTCAGCTGCTCCTCATCACACTTGTTCTCCGGCTCCGCTGCCCTTCCCTGGACACGCTCCAGCACCTCCATGTCCTTCCTGTAGTGAGGAGCCCAAAACTGAACCCAGCACTTGAGGTGCAGCCTCACCAGCTCCAAAGGGAGAGGAGTTAGACCTTACACGCACGTGAATGACACAGTCTCCCCAGCCTGCCATGCCCAGCAGGGCAACCAAAGCAGACCTTGACACCTCACCACTCCAGCTAGCCCCTCAGGCTTGCAGGCAAGGCCCAGGGAGTAGAAAGGGTGTGTGCCCTGGGTGTCCCCCAACTCACACAGAGTTCTTCACAATGTCTGAGTGGATGCGGGCCACGCCGTTGACTGCATGGGAGCCAATCACACAGAGGTGAGCCATGTTAATACGTTTGCAGTCTCCTTCTTCGATCACTGACATCCTCCGGAGACGGTCAATGTCCCCTGGGTAGAGAGCTGCCACCCGCTGCAGGCAGGCAGGCAGAAAGAGGGACATTAGTGACCCAGCCACAGGACCTAGGAATGTTCCCATCCTAAGAACAGCCAGACCAAGACCCCCCAGAGTTCCCACAGCCCATGACCAGCCCAGACTCTTACATCCAGATGCATTTGGTTGAGGGCATAAATGATCTCCAGGTGACGTGGCAGCAGCTTTTCAAACATGGAGACCGGCCAGCGCTCCAGGGCTTCAGGCAGCACAGTGTGGTTGGTGTAGGCACAGGTCCGTTTCGTGATCTCCCAGGCCTGTGTTACAGACAGCAGGTTAACGCGCACACCTCCAGGCCAGGAGGGAAAGGAGACCCTGTGTGAGGAGGGGACAGCAGCTCATTCCCCTGTGAGGTTGGGCATGGACCTCCCAGCTCCACTTACCTTGTCCCATTCCACTTTCTCCACATCCACCAGGATCCGCATGAGCTCTGGGATGGACAGGGCAGGGTGGGTGTCATTTAGCTGAATAGCCACCTGGAACACAGACTTGCTGGGCTCAGATCTGGCAGTGACAGGGCTGTGACAGTGTCCCACATGCATGGGACTGGGGTGAGGGTCAGCCCCAGGAACGGAGCTATTCAACCTTCACAACTTTTGCTCCAAATTGCCAATTTTTCCCTGGGAAAATAGGCCCAGAGATCACCTGTTTTCCAACCCAAATGGCCCCCACTTGATCCGGAGCATCCTGCTCTTCCTCATCATAGGCAGGGCTCATTGAAACACTCCCGGACCCTCTCTGCCCACAAACTCACCTTGTCTGGGAAGGTTTCAAAGCATGTTCTCACAGGGTCTCGACAGCCAAATTTGGAGGACTTAAAGCGGCGGATGATGTCTTGGAGGGTGGCAGCCACCACAAAGTACTCCTGTTTCAGCCGCAGCTCCTTGCCTTCAAAGAACTGCAAGTGGGGAGACCACAGCCATCAGTGGCAGCCAAACCTCTGGAGATGCTCCTATCCACTCTGATGGGCTTCCCAACAGGCTCCACAGGTTCAGCACCTCACCAGGGCAAATGTGGATATTTCTCCAACTGCCTCTGATGGGGCAGCAGCTACAGGGACTGACAAGGGGCATCCCAAACAGCTGCCTCCAGAGGACAGCAGAACCTGCCACATCCACACTGCTCCTACAGAGCAAGAGCAGCTCCCTCCCTCACTGCAAGACCCTTTTGCAGGGTTTTTGGACCAAGGATTTTGGGCTCCCTGCAACAGCCAGGAGCTGTTGTCTCTGGACACACAGCTGCCTCCCATGCACAGTACACTGGTCTATTCTAAAATACCAGCAAGAGAGAGGGTGGGGGTAAAGTGCATGAGATGAACTTTTCCAGCACAGATGCTAATCCATGACCAGATAGTAAGGCTCTTCCCTTTTGGATCTGGTGACCAGCGAGTGCGTGGCCCGGGACAGACCCTGCAGTGAGAAATCCCTTGAACTGGGGATGGAAACAAGTCCCCCCTCATGGCCACCCCTGAAATGACAACTTACTTTTGCAAAGGGTAAGCCATGCACCTTGGCAACTAACTGCCTTGAATGGGAAGGAGAAGTATGTCTTCCCCTCCTTGCAGCAGGGAACAGAGCAGCTACACAATATGGGCCAGGCTCTCAGTTGCCATCACTCAGAGACCCTCTGGAACCAGCAGAGCTGTGTCTGTTCACTGAGAATGACAGGGCCAACCTACTGTATTAAAAATCCTCACACCAGAACAATAAACATCAGGTGGCCATGACCTTCCAGTGCTTGCAAACAAGGTGATAACTACAGCAAGGATGATTCCCAGCAACAGGGAAGAGAGGCAAGAGAGTCACTCACATTGTCATTTGGGTACAGGACTCTGGATATGTTTTCTGCCAGGTTTCTGTCCAACACCGCTTCGATGTAGTCACCCACGTTGACTGTGGCAAGAAAGAAATACACACAGCACTGCAGCAGCTGTAGAGATTCAGGCAGGTCTCCAACACCGCGCTTTTCCCTCTTCTCTTGTAGAGAGATTTGTAACAGGAACATTCAGGCTGGTATTAAGGAAATATCAACGGGAATGTACGTGTGTGAAAGGCACCAGAGAGACAGGAGGAGATGGGATAAGAGAATGACACATCTCCATGCTGTTTCTCAAGACACACATATCAGGAAGGATAGACAGAAACCGAAGACAGACAGCAGACAGAGAAGGCAAAAAAAGGAAGTGAGTGACCAGCCATCTTGCTTAAGGACCAAGGAAAAATGTGGCAGGGCAAAGAAGCACAAAGACACTCAACTCCTAAAGGGTACAAGAGGCTCATCTGAAACCCAGCTCGCAGCTGCCAATCAAGAATTGAAGAGCCATTATGAGGACTTGAGAGCCATCACTCCTCATCCCACACAAGTTCTCCTGGCAGTGCTGCTGGGACACACACATCTCTGTGCTTGCCAGTGTGGAAGAATAAATCAAATCAGTCTAAAACCTTTCCCTTCTGTAACAGCCCAGCACTGACATTTGGTACATTAGTTGCCCTGTATCTGCTCTTCAGCACTATCATTAGAGCCTGAAAAATGCACCAGAGAGATCACACGTAGACCCAAAGGAAACCAACAAGGTGGGCTGTGCTGCTCTTTTCCTTCAGCACTAAGGGATGATGCTGCACAGAAATGACTCTCCATGGCAAGTGTGGGTTTGCAGCTCATTTGATGATGGGGGGAACACAGTAGCAGGTGTTCTGGAAGGCAGAGGGCAGGTTTTGAGAGCATGATAAGCGTGATGGGGATGGAAGGAGGATGGATGGGTGTCCTGGTATGTGAGGGCTCTGGAAGCGGTTGGGAGGTAGTGTGATCCATGGATGTGCACACAGTGCTGTGTTTTGGAGGCAGCCAGGAGATACGGATAAAGCAGGCCAGGTGGGAAGTGCTGTGCCAGGTGCTACTCGCGCAGGAACAGCCATGTCCCAGCCTGGTCAGAAGAGAGGCAGTGGAGGGATAGCACTTACACTCTTGGAGGTTGAAGTCATTGGGCGCTTTTGCAGACCACAGCCTCATGGTGTTAACAGTGTTGTTCTTGTATCCTGGCACTGGTGTGTCGTAAGGCATAGCAAGGACAACCTGCAAAAGGACAGTATGCCCCTCTGATTAGCAGCATGGTGGCCTCAGAGAAGGTGGGAAAGTGGCTGAAACCTCTGCAGAAAGAAGCCAGAGGACACAGAGAACTCCTGACTGTGGTAAGAATCTCACCTCACTAAAACACACCTGCTGAGCTCCACAGACTTCCCTGCTAGCAGGGGCACTTCCAGCACCCACTGGCAAAGGATTTACAGGAGAAGTAGAGGTGTTTGGAGCTTGACTGACAAACTGGAGTTACAAGCCCGTCAATGAAATGCAAAAGAGAGATGCAAGCAACCTCATGACCTTCCTATACCAGCTGGTGTACCTACTGGTTAAACTTTCACCAGAGCACTGCAAGTGTCCTCAGCTGGCTACTGCAATTCTGTCTGTGCCGGGGTAGCACCAAGGCAGCTGGGACCTTTGTGTTTCCACCTGGGATGAACTCCACAGCCTGAATCCTGCCTGTTGGCCTTCTGCAGCCTGCCAGGACCAAACCCTACCACTGCAGCACCACTCCCAGAGCAACTCACCCAATGTTCAAGGTTTGTTGGACCTGCCTGGGTAAATCCACTGTGACCTCCAGCACTCGAAGTGAACATCAGTGTGAAACTATTAGTGCAGTCTATGGATGATGCTTAAGCATCAGGATGCTGCACACACAGCTGCAGGGAGTAACACTGGGGCTCCCACTAGCCAGGTAAGGCATGGGTGTGCTTCCAAGCTTGTGTGCTCCAT